ATCATTTATTGTTAAAAAGCATGTAATGCACTTTCTTGTATGACATATGATTGGGATCGAATAAAATAATTTTGATGACACGTGATATGCACACACACAAATGAAAAGCAATTTTATTCGTTATTCGCTTGTGAATAAAAATTCAGTCAAAACGCACAACACATACCACGTACATTTTGTGCACATTGTCACAATTGTTGTGCATTGAAATTTGTGAATTAAGGAAGTTTTGTTTATTTATTAAACATCAAACAAAAACTTTATTTCCTACTATCGGCAAAAAGAAACATTTAAATTTGAACTGGACGCTAATTCAAAAAATGTAAAGTTGCCCAGAGATACAAATCAAGGGTGATGGTTACTCTAAATTCTGAATACCAAAGGGAACTTCTTTATCTAACTAGCCACCATCACGTTTTACGCTAGAATAAGTTAGCGAGTTACGTAACACATATAATGAAGCTTTTTGGGCAATGCAAAATTATATCGATATACTTGCTTCTCTATTTACGCATGTATTATTTAGTTATTATGTGTATCAATCGATCAATCAAAAAACATTAATGATAACCAATACATAAGAACAATAAAGTGATGCGAAAATCCTACGATGATAATTTCAAAGAGTAAGTGTGTGTGCGATATGTTCGACATTAAAAACTATCTCATAAATTATTTCTTCTATTCAAAAGAGAAAAAGGAATTAATATAGATGCAGAAAATCTCATGAAACAAGTAATATTGATTACCACCCGACTGATTTCCATACCGATACACATACGTGATTAAATGTAGTAAATACATGTAAAAGGGGGTAGAATTTACCACGGAAGAACAACAAAAATATTCCGATTCGTTAAAGTTTTGTCCACGTGACTACGCGAAGCATCAACGAATTCTTCTTACATGTGCATGTGCTCATTAATAATTAGTATGTGCGCATTTATCATTTTTCTGATGATATTGGATTATTTAGACTCCGGTTTAACTTTGACGTAAGAGAGCCTGAAATGGCGACAGTAGTAACAGGAGAAAGAGAGGAGACGATATGAACATATCGATATCAAATAGGAACACATTGGTTGGGGGATTAGTTAAAGAACGTGATTGTGCCAGTTTATTTTCTCAGCCTAATTGTTATATTGTATTATCGATACAAAGTGATACGACATAGAACTCTAAATAGGGGAGCGCAAAGATCGAACGCCAGTTATGACGATAGGATACTTATTTTTTTGTGCTACATGCCCTTCTGTTGCAAGGCAAAATCCAGGTATTCGGGATAAAACTCCATGGCAAGATCCAAATCCTCTCAATGATTGATCGCCCTCATTAGATTCTCAACCATTCATCATTACAGATTGTATATCTCTCTCTACAATCACACTATGAAACATAGGAAAATTGACCACCAACCTCTTTAAAAGTCACATTTTTTCTGATACCGAGGGCGTGTGATTATACGGAGGTACGCTTGTACTAATAAAAAATTTCGTATAAAAATTTCGTATGAAAAGGAAAAGGAGAAGATTGGCATATTGAAATACGTCTAAACATTTTGATTTGTCAGTCGTTAATAATGAACAGATGATTAGCTTATTGTTGTTACCGTATGCATATTACCCAATTATAAAAACCAATATGATTGGCGCAGCATTAACAGTGCCTAATTTGGAGATTTTTGAATAATCCCATCATCTTTTCCATGGTCAAAAAAAGAAAAAAAAAGGGGACACACTAAATTATCGTATAAATAGAGGGGGAGGAAGAAGAGTGAGAAATCGAAAAAAAGAGAGTCCGGTTTTTTACATTGTACGTTCTTTCTTGTAAGTAACTGTTTAATCGTCAATATAATACGTAATTAGCATTATGATAATGGGGATGTTTAATCAGATATTAATCAGATATAACGATAATATTTTGACGACAAATAGTATCAACAATAAATAATAATAATAATAATAATAATAATAATAATAATAATAATAATAATAATAATAATAATAATAATAACACACATTAATGTGGGAAAAGATTCTTAATTTCAGGCAACTGACAGTTTGGACCCATCGTCATTTTTATAAAATAGTTACGCACCACATCCAATACCCAACACTCTCCCTTAGTCGCACAAAATATATAAGAACATACATAAAGATAATAAATACATAATACATGTATAAATACATGAATAGAGATAAAAAGAGAAATGGAGTGAAAAAAAGGCAATAAAAAAATAATATAAATGCGACTGCCAGTATTTCATTAACAACTTGAAGGAGAACACGAAGAGAATATATTTTATTCATAGAAATTTCTCATTAATAAAAATTATTTTTTTTTTTACTTTTTCATATTTTTTTTTTTTACTTCTATTTATTTTTAACCAGCAGTCGTTTTTCGTCGTTCGTCTTTACTGACCACAAACACATTTATATTTAATATACAGTACACAGTACACAAAGTATAAATAAAAGAACAGGATAAGAACAAAGTACATTCATTTCTTCCTCATTTCGGAGTAAAACAAATTATCAATGCAAGCGTATCAACAAACACCATCGCAAACTACTCAGACTTCATCCTCGCAACAACCACCACCACCACTACCACAACAATCTTATATAAATACGACAGCGGCAGTAGTAACGGGTAGTCTTCATGATCTACAGTGTAGTCAAGCGGGCTGTCATCGAACGAAATTCGTAGACTCTAACAGGCAAATTTACTCATTTTGCGGTCCATCTAATTGTCTCTCTATTCCCGCATCAGCACAAAATATCTTGATAAATAACCTAAATAGCAACAGCAACAATAACAATAATAATTTCATTCAACAACTGCCATCATATCAAATATCGCAACAACAAATTGCTGCCAATAATATAAATAACATAAATTTATTTGGAGAAGGGTTTCAGCAGACACCGATTCCGATTGCAACAAATTATCTGAATAACAACAACAACAACAACAATAATAATAATAATAGTCTTATTACTTCGACCGTTTCTTTACCGTTATTACCGAATATCACCGCCAATAGTAATGTCAACGCTATCAATAATGTCTTTAATAATTCCAACCAAGAATTGTTTAGTCAACTTTTATATGCAAGGCTAAATCAATCAAACCCTACCACACACGCCTTTACATTGAACCATAATATTAATAACAACAGTAATAACAATAATAATAACAACAACAACGGAAACCAGCTGCAACAACCGATAGCATCACAAATACAAGTACGGCAATCAAATCCATCAACCCGTGCTGCTGCTGCTGCTGCTGCTGCTGTTGCTCCTTGTGTTGTTCCTCATCAGAGAATCATTTCTACTGCCACACCAACAACGACGACAATACTGCAAAATACATCATCCAACACTCCATCAGCAACAGCAGCAGCAAATCAATTAATTAATCAAATACAATTGATGAATCCGAATAACCAGGTATATAATAGTAACAATAATATTCTGACCACCACCACCACCACCGCAACAACAACAACGAATAATAATAATAATAATAATAATATTAATAATATTAATAATATTAATAATAGTAATACTAATACTAATAACAATATTAATATTAATATTAACAACAATAATAATAACAACAGCAACAACAACAACAACAACAACAATAATAATAACAATAATAATATTGGAAATAATATTATTAATAATAATAATATTTCTACGGCATCTTTAATAAAACAAGAACCAACATTGACAACGTTTCCAAATCAAGTGAGGCCAGAGTCAATAGCAGGTGGAGGAGGTCCAATTCGGGTTGATCTTAAGAAATTAAGGGAACAACATCTAAAACAAGCTACTAATAATAATGTCAATGTTGGTAATGTGAATATGAATGCTAATTTTGCTGGGTTGACCGAACAACAAAGAAGAATTATTTATCAGAATCGATTAAAACAACAGCAATTATTACAGCAGAAACAATTATTACAATTTCAACAACAACAACTACAACAACGGCAACAACAACAGCAGCAACAGCAGCAATTGCAACAACAACAACAGTTACAACAACACTTGCAACAACAACAATTATCAATAAATTCTGCAATAAATTCTGCTATAATAAATAATAATAATAATAATAATAATAATAATAATAATAATAATAATAATAATAACAACAACAATAACAGCAACAACAATAACGAATTAGCAACATCGCAACAATTACCTTCATCCATGACACCGGTAACAACGCAGTCGTCGCCACAATTATTATTCCCGTTGAATTCAATATTAGCACAGCAACAACAACTAACTCCCGCGCAGCAGCAACAATTTATAAAAAATCAAATATTAGCTGCGCAAATGCGTAACCAACAACAACAGCAACAGCAGCAACAAATAGCGCAGCAACAAATAGCGCAACAACAAATAGCGCAACATCAACGACAGTTCTTTCAAAAGCTACAGTTGCAGCAACAACAACGACAAATATTACTACAAAGATTACAAAAACCGAACACACAACCTATATCACAACCTGCATGTATGAATCATAAACCATCGCCAACAACGCCGAATTCATCAACGACGACGCCAACTAACAATATCAGCGTTATCAGCACATATAATAATCCATTAAAAACACCTCCAACACCATCCGTAAATGCTAACAACAATAATGTTATTAATGGACGGAAACCTTGCGCTCTTTCCACATGTCAGAATCTTGCATACGTTGATCCTCAAGACCCAAAAAAATTCAAA